AATTAAATGCCAAAACAATTATCAAGGGTTTCGTAAATCTCTCAAGGAATTGAATTGAAAAGGCATACTACAGTCTTGAAGAATTTTATCAGTAGAATTTAGTCTTTTTATTATAACAATCTTTTGTATCATTGTTCCCTCATACATAATAAAATTGTCAATTCTGAAAGGTCCCAAATACCTAGTTGTTTTTTTGTTTTAGCATGTAATTATTTTTATATTGTTTTAAAATGTTAACAAGGTTTCAAATATGTATATTTTTTTATTTTGTTTTTCTTCTTTGTTTGTGTAGGAATTTTTATATATTTTAACTATTTTTTTAGTATTTTATCCTAGTACCTACTTTACTGAAATTATAAGAAATTTATTATTTATTATTATTTTTTATATTTTTTTTAATATGTTTTTGATAATGTTGTTTCTGCTTTCTTTTATGTGCTTGTGATATTAACATTTTAGGCTATTTTATGTCGTTATGTTTTGATCTCTTGAAGTGATGGATAGGTACCTACTTAACTTGAAAAATCAATTGGGTATTAGTTTAATTATTAATTTGAATATTATTAACTGTGATAGAAATTAAAATGTGTGTATAGTTTAAGAATCGCTTTGTCAATGGTTTTTATAAAATTTCGACAATAAAGCATTATTGAATTGAATTGAATATATAGTAGGGTTGGTCTGGCTTCCATCTCCAGGTTTTGCCTGCAAGGTTTCGGCAGACCATGAGAGCCGTTCTAGCCTTGTTTACAACTTCCTCAATGTGTTTCCTCCATCTGAGTTTGTAGTCCAGGTTATGCCAAGATATTTGACTTCCGTCACCAGTGGAATATTAGTCCCGTGTATTCGGATATACTTTATTTCAGGGAGTTTTCTCCTACTAGTGAAAGGTCCAGTCCCACTCTTCGGCACGATTCCTCCGTTGCTTCGAGCCCAGTTTGTAAAAGTTCATACAGGGTGCTCTGTGCCATCGAAATTTCCTCTTGCTATGATGACAATGTCATACCCATACGCAGTGCAAGCTCAGATTGTTCAATATTTCTAGTAGTTCATCCACTACTTAGCTCCACATCAAGGATGATCATACTCTTCTCCACTTCAGAGACGATAATTTACTAACTTGACACGTTCGGCGCCAAGCTGATTTTATTGAATTGGCGCCACAGGCTCAAATCCCTATTCCACCAGCCCATAGCGGACATTATAGCCGACTCAAAATAATCGGCAAACAGCCGGTGAAGAAGTATATTATAATAGTATGTCCGCCCTGGCCCCTAGAGTACAGGTAATTTTAAATTATTTTTGTTCTTTTTCTAAAATCTCTACAAATGATTTTTTCTTAACTGTCCGCTGGCCAATGTTAATGGGTCAGTGTTGTCCGCCATGGTGACCGTTGTGGACTGATAGATATAGTTTATCGAGCACGGATGTCGGCCGTGGAGCTGGATGTCTTAAAAATAGCAAAAATGCGGAGAAATTCAAACACTTCCTGGAGAAATGGTGTGATCCTTACAGTATCGATCAAGACGGTTACTGGAATATTCAAGCGTATTGGGACAAAGTCATCCCTGGTCAACATCCCAACTAGCAAATATATTTTATAATTTTTAACTGTCCGCTGCTATTTTATTTTATAATTAGTTTATTACTGCTCGTCGAACGCCATTTTGTTTTATTAAAATTGCAAGCGAGATAATTAAGCTTTTAAGAAGTATTCTGTTCTATAAGGTAGTCGTAAGAACGTTCTTGGAGCAAAAATACAAAACAGTTTAATGACAAATTTTAATATTGTTTTATAAACGTTTACACAATAATTTTATATGACATTTTAGCTCACCGAACAAATCTGTTTTATATTAGATTTATATTGGTGTTATCTGATATTAGTTCATTCGTTTGCGAACCTCTATAAAAAATTTTTATTAGCGCTATGTGAAACATTTATAAAATTAATTTACCAATATTTTCTTTCGGATATTATTGCTGTCTAAAGCATTTTGCACTCAGATGGAACCTTAAAAAATTATTATATAATTATCATAAACTCTGTCATAATAAAAGCTAGGTATATATAATAATCATAAAACAAAAAAATGTTTGTGAGGATACGAAAGCATTAAGGAATACATTTATAAAACGAATTAGACATTCTTGCTCGCCATGCAATCGCCATTGTTTATTGTCAAAATATCATGTTAAAAAACCTGACCAATAAAGAAACAATAATGCGACATACGTTTTCGTAATCAAAGCAATCTTTGATTTTTTTTTGAAGACCCGTTACCTGCTAAGAAAATATATGGAGAGTGTTTTCTTTTTGCAGTACGTCTCTGTTTTCCTAAAATATACCCATAAATTAAATATTTAATAAAAATCTCTAATAGAGCAAAAACATTTTATAAAGAACTCCCAAGGTGGTAAAAGTATTTTATAACATGGAAGCCATATTTTGTGTTGTTTCAACTTCACTTTACGACGGCCATTTTTGAGTGTATAACAAAAAATCATTTTTGCAATGATAAAATGCCTTAAATAACTACTTTAGTATTTATAAAATGGTATGAGATGGATCCTTTAAATTATTTTACCACAATCCAGGTCCAAATGAGGGAAAATTACAGATTGAATTTTTGACTTTGACCTTTTCTGCTAAAACTCAATTATACCTAATATATTTGAGGCGCTTGAAAATTTTGCTACATATATTATACCAAAAAATTTCCTTCGCAGTAAAATATCAACCATCAGATTGTAAATCGAATTTGTGTATGTCTGGTATTGGGTTTACATAATATCAGAACCAAATAATGCAATATGGCTGATGTTATTTACTCAAACGTATTTTATTTGTTTCAAAAGATGCAATATGCTTGCCTTTTTGTTATCTTAAGGACCATTTAAAAATAAATTATTCTCAGTAGGTACAATTTAAGAACAAAAGCTTACTTTTATAGTGTTAGTCAAAACAAAAAAGCTTCATTTGAGATAATGAAACAACTTCTATAAAACTGTTTTATTCTATCTCGATAAATAGGTATTGTATAATTGTCATAATGATAAAATATAATTTTGCTCCATAACTGTCTTCAATAAAAATGTTTTATAATTGTTGCAAACTATGTTTCATAGTAATTTTGTAAATGTTTAAACAATTATCCGGTAAAAGATGTGAGAGCCATAATAAAACATTGGTATAGAACAAAATTGCTGCGCAAGAGTGCGCCCTTTTTGGTTTTATAAGCGTTGTATAAACGGTGTTCGAACGTTTATAGCGACATTGTTATTTTATAATAAAATAATAGTTCTGTAAACGTTGTTAGGCCATTTATAAAACATAAATTGTTAGTTGGGGCAGTATCATAAGCCTTGAGGCCTTTCCATGAGGGTGGTATGATTATTGTTGTTTGATAATGCCTGCCTTTAAAACTACTACCACGTCACCATAAAACCATCGTTTTCGCGAGGTTGGCGAACTCAACTACTTTCAAAAGAATTTTGAAACGAAGTCATTCATTTTGCCTTTGTGACTAGATTGGAGATTGCATATGGAGTTGTTACAGCTTATTCCAGTCGCTCAAGCACTGCTACCTTCCCATATATTCTGTGCGTGTCTCTGTTCCTAGTTGGTGTCCATGATTTGTAGGCTTCTCCCAAAGAAAGCCAGCTCCCTGGGTGGTAGAGTGCCCACCTCTAGGGGTGTTAGCCGTACCTTTTCAAGATATTTCAGCCTTTTGCAAAAGTGAGCAAGGCATTCACATATTAACTATGTTCTAGTTTTTGTTGCTTGATCGCAGGATCTGCAGTGGTCGTTGTCTGATTTGCCTATTGTTTTCAGGTGATATTTCACCAGCCCAGTGACCAGACCAACGACTGTGTTCAAATGTCTTTTCTGTTCGTGTCAAGAAGTTGTTCAGATCTCTTTGCTGAGAATAATATGAACTTTTTTGCCGGTCTCAGACCCGGAATGGATCTCCAATAAGCCAGCATTCGGTCTTTTTCCCATCTCTGCATTTCTTTGGCTACGTGGCCTTTTATTAGATGCAGCAAGAGCCTTGAAAAGGTGTTACAGCGCCTTGTTTTGCAAGATGATCTGTCTCCTCTTTGCCCTCTATCCTTCTGGTTCCCACATCAGGGCTACATTGTTCCTCCTAGCCAGTTGCTTAAGAATATTCCCCCCCCCCCCCCCCAAACTCCCTGCGAAGTTCACATTATGGCTCCTAGAGCCTTTAGAGCCGCTTGACTGTCGAACAGTATATAAATGTGCTTTCTCTAAAAGACTCTTTGGGCAGTAACCTCAGCTTCAAATATTATGGGCGTTTTACCCATTGCTAAGGAGAGTTTAAAGTTTGGTACAGTTATTCTCAGACTCCTTCCGTTAAGTTCGAAACATCTATGTACCACAATGATGCGTTGTCCGCTTGCGGTAGCATTGCATTCTTCCATGATTGGCGTTCTTTTACAATCACTTAATATGGAATATCAAATTTTAGTGATGTTATGATATGATCTGTTGGTTCACTTTGGCACTCGAGCTACATAGACTGAAAGATGCGTAAGTGGCTATCCACATCACCAGATGTTAATGTTTTTGTTTAATAGCGTATATGCGTCTACTCCGGCCTCTTTTTTCAGATATAGGTGAAGAGGGGGCATGTTCAGCAGTGCCTCTGGATCTAAGGATGCGGTGGGGCAGGTTGACATAGCCCCTGTTATTCCTAGACAGATTAGCCTTTGTTCATTACGTAGACTGTCCTGTGCAGTAATTTATTCAGTTTTTGACCACCATATTAGCAAGACGTAGGTGACAATGGGTGTGACAACCGTTCGGCAAATCCAGCCAAAATCTTCTCCTTCAAAAACTATAACCGCGAGTTAACCAATTTGTTGATCTATTGATTTTTTTTTTAATTAGGTTTATATTTAATCCAAACTCTCATTACTAGAGAAACCGAAGCCCTACTTAACGGAAATTTAGTTGAATAAAAGCAACATATATTTACCCGAATGAAGATTATTCAGTTTAATTTTGGTGAGTTGATCTAGTTTGGTCTTGCTGTTCCGATGATGGTTGACACCGTTATTGTAGAGAGAGCTGCAAGACATCGTCGTGGATACTGACTGTCTTCCGGCTGCTGAGCTACAAAAAGGTTTGTGAATTTGTTTTGAGTTTGTGCTAAGAACAGGGCAAACCTTAAGTATTTTTGCCGTCTTGGGAAACAGCACTTGGTGAAGTTGTTTGTAGCCAAAAATAATAATACGCTTGTGATGTAGGGTTTCACTTCTGATTTCACTTCTCCGTTTAGGAAGCAGTAGAGGATTGCCACAAAGAATCCCTGAAAGATTATATCTACAATTACCTATATGTACTTATATAAAATAAAATACTACAAAGATCATTAATATGTCTGGGCATGAAAATTTTAGATGAAGCAATGCATTTCTTCTGAAAAAAAAGGGTGTGAAAAAAGTTCGCCACTTCTGAATTTTTTTTTTCAATCAATTTTGCATTGCATCTCTTAGGCAACTACTCTTAGTTCAAAATTATCGCTATGTTGTAAGTACCCATGGTGTATATAAAAATTATTTGTGTCCTATTATAAAGTTCAGAACTTGTATACCTGGAAGCTTCCAAAAAGTCCATCACACAGCATCCATATAAATTTCTCATTTAAGAAATACAGAACAAGAAAAAATGCATAGTTGACACCAAACAGAGGCACCAAAACTAAAGTCGATTTAGCCCATTTCAAATATCTTCTTGAATCTTCATTAATGGGTGATTTTAGTTTGTTATAGAGGACTATGGATATTATGACGAAGAGTATCAAATTAATCTAGAAAAGTATGAAACCTTTATTGTTTTCGCAAACGATTCAAATTGAGCATACTTACCAACACAGATGCGAGCGTCGGTATAATGATTATCGAAAAAACTCTGAAGTCATCATTTGTAGTCCAGCACAGATTGTCTTCAAGTAAAATGCGCGCAACCACCCAAGCCGAAACAACCAAAACAGGAAGACCTATAAAAACAAAGATTTTTTTTCCATATACCTAACATTAATTATCACAATTCACTTACCCCATCCTAAAGTAATATAATACGCTAAATTTTTATTCGAGTCAGTGAATAAGGCCCTTAAAATTAGATTATTCAGATAAAGTCCTTCCATTAATATCCACGAATAATTTGCCGCAGTAAAATATTGTAACATACTAACTATAAGTTTGCATTCAAAGTTATTCGACTAAAACAAATTATAGTTTAATTTAATAAAATACTTGATTTTATAAAATTTATTCACCATCACGTTAACATGGAAAAACTCTCTTCCATCAGAGTCTAACATCATATCTTTGGAAAGTCCTATTCCATTCACAAATAAAGCGTCTTTGAGAATGTGCATGAATGATCGTAAAATGAAAGAAGCAAACAAGTTCATATGGAGAATATTCCGGGCACAATGAAGTTTCCTGGAAGAAAATTCTCGTATTGAAAACTTTTCAAATGAAAAGAGTCAAGGAATAGAGAAACACACCGCATGATAAGTTCCTCTATAGGTACTTACTTGATTTTGAACATTATTGTGAATGCAATAATTAAGGATATTAATGATATCGCATATCCTGTTTGTATCACCACTTTGATTATGTTCTAAAAAAACAATAATAATTTCGAATGTTTTCTATACGGTATAATTTCTTACTAGACTTTCCGCGGAATGGTCAATAATTGCGGAATCCTGGCTAATATTGGTATAGACAGTGGTTACTTTATCGTTAACGCAATCGGAGTAGTTGGTGTATGGAACGTCATTCTTTGTAAACCATTTTGCGTTTTCGTTACATTTTCTTGTAGCAAAATTAGCCTGAAACTTTATAGAATTATACCACATATACAGAGCTTTGGATAATTATTTGTTTCAATCCAGTATCCTCATCGCATCTTATCAAGGCATCAAAACATTTGAAATACATAAATTACAAAAATCGATCCAGATGATGAGTTGATGAGGTCCTCACCATGAGGAAGACTTGCGACTATCAATTTTGTATTATCTTGTGATAGCTTATCGCCACCCAAAAAAAAACAACGATGCGAGTTTATTTGAAATTGTTCCGGATCTTCAATTTAAACTATTCGACAAAACAAAGAAATTTTGGGTGGAAAAGTACCTACCTATTTAAAACAAACCATCTAAAGAGAAATAGCCCAAGAAATTTATACCTGGGCCGCAAAAAATTTTTCGATGGCAAGCTGATTTTTTTAGGGCTGATTGGGGACTGTGTCCTGAGTATTCAGCCAAAAAATCACACTCGAAAGCCTTGTGCGTTCGGCCCTATTGGCCTTTTTCTTATTTATTTTTTTTCGACAAAATGACATTAACGAAACTTGTAGATAATTACATTCTGATCAACTTTGCCTGATGACTTTTTTTTTTTGCTAGCTATTTTACTTTAGGCGCTGCGGCTATCTAAGTGCTTCAGAATTCGCAAAAAAAATAAATAGCAAACCTGCAGATTATTATACATAATAAAATTCTCTATTACTTTGCTTGATGATATTTTATTGTAACTTTATTTTTCTACGATTGACAAGAAATGTCAGCATTTTTGACCGGTTGACAGGTCGCAAAACTCAAGATTCTGGTATTTTAATCATGTTTCAATAGTTGCTAGGGAATCAATGAATAACAATACAGGAATCACTAGGCCGGGAAAGTGATTCTCGTACTGCTGATTAATGTGAACAAAAAGACAACCAATTAACAGATATTTAAACCGATCGCAGAAAAAATAGTATGTGTAATTCGGTGGAAAAGCACATTCTCAGCCTTCGGTGTTTGCCGGCCTCGGCTGCGCCTCGCCCGTCAACTTACACCGTCGGCCGAGAATGTGTCACTTTTCCACCTAAATACACAATATACTATTTCCCTTGTACAGCCTTTCAGGCATTTACTCCAAGACAGTTAAAAATTCTTATATGGTGAATTGGGAACAAAATAACATAAAGCTGCGACTAGTCTCAGTCGATAGGATTTATGGTTCTGATGAACATACTAAAAGTCCCCAGACCTCCCCCTAGGGGAACATTGTCAAAAAGGCACCGCCAACTTGGATTTTTGACATTTTTTGCTTAATTTACGTTTTACTCAAAAACTACTCATTTTTCGAGAAAATGTACGGAGAGATAAATTGAAGAGCACACAAAAACCTTTGAAAAAAAAATATTTTTGGACTTCCTGGGTACTACCCTTACGGAGATAGGAGCCAAATAAGTACTGTCAAAAAACAATGTTTTGCCTAATTTTCATTTTACTCATAAACCACTCACTTTTTAAGAAATATAAAGAGACCTAAATCGAAGAATTAAATCTGAGGTACATAGGTGACAGCGAACATCCGCGGTAGTACCCTTATTAAAATAGGAGCCGATGGAGTACCGCCGACATAGGATTTTTTTATTTTTATTTTTGGGATAAAAGCATTAGCAGGAAATTTCAAGAACGTGACTTAAAACTATTTCCGATATGAGTACTCGCGTGCGGAAAGTGTCACTTTTCCACACGCGATTACAGTTGGTCGAACGATGCGAAGCGGAGTTCTGCCAAGCAATCAAGTGAGAAAAAGAGACTGATCAATTGGAATGGGCATGGAAAGATGTAAATGAAGAGCTACATCCTATTACAATGGAACAAGAGCTAGCTCCAGAATTTATCTTAAGAATGATTTTTTATAACTGCAAAACGTAGTTGCAAAAAATCATAGCGTTTTTTGCTCAAATTTATGCGGTTCTTGCCATGGAAATTCCTGCGAAAATATTCTTCAACAAAGTTCTTCTTCCAACAATACTGAGTCCGATGAAGAAATGTAAATAGGCCAGGTTGTAGTGTGTTTAGTTTAGTTAGTATAAAGTGACCAGATCCTGAAAGTCCAAAAGCGGGACAAAGTTCTCAAAAATCAGGTTTTCATTTTCAGTTTTAGTTTTTTTGGGTACCTGGGTAGTGATAAATAAAATCACTTACGTGATTATACAAAATATGTAATGAATGAGATACAAAAAAAATAGTATATTGTTGTATTAGAAGTAGAAGCTATACTTTTTTGTGCTGAAGCAGTAGGTTTGCGAGCCGAACGTAGTGAGGCTTGCAATACTGCTGAAGCACAAAAAAGTGCTTCTACTCCGTATGCCACACGCTATTTTTTCTCCAAACGAATGTGGTAAGCTCGGGGGTAACTGGATGGTTGAGCGGCAGTAAAAGTACGAGCGGCACTAGAAGTACTTTTACTGCCGCTCCGGCGGCACCAAAAGTACTTTTGCTGCCGCTGGGGTTGCCAAGCAGCATAGAAATTAAATTTCTACCACCTCGACAGGTGTTCTGTTCTGTTCTGACATCTTGACAGAGGTTAACAAAGTGGCGTTTTTTTGACGTTTGGAGAAAAAAAAAATTGACTCCTCCGTCCAAAAATAGGCCTACTTGCGGAAATATAATTACCAATATATCATATTCAGGCCTATGATGTATCATTTTCTGTTATTTTAATGGCAACGTTAACGTTAAGCCATCTGGCACTGTTGATTCTATATGTAAAAATAGAGAGAGGTTATAGATGTTGAGCTATAACACTACTGTTATATTAACAGGATAGGATACATCATAAGCCTGTTTGAGTCTCATCAAATAAATAATTTTCAATTATGGTGCATTTAGAGAATTTTTTCAAAAGAAACTCAGAACTTTTTTGTACTTGTTCCCCAGGTATAGGAGGTAGAAGTTTTTTTTTTAAGAAGTCAAAGCAAAATCCGATATGGACTCATATTGAGTGCTGTACTGGTTTAAATATTCTAAACAATTAGCATAAAAGTTTTTAAAACAAATAATAAAAAGTTGATATTTGGAATTTATTTAAAGCGGGACAAAAGCGGGAAGCTCATTAAATCGAGACTCGTAGCTCGAAATCGGGACTGTCCCGCCTAAATCGGGACGGATGGTCACTTTAAGTTAGTATGGACCTAATTAGGTTAAGAAAGTTTTTTTTTTAACACTGCTTCTGAAAATGGAGTTTTTCGCACGCTAGGCTACCACTGAAAATTGAGTTTTTCACACAGCGTGCGAAAAAAAACGCACGCTGTTCTATTTTCGCACTATATATATTCTCTATATTGACTTGACACAAACACACACAAAAGTAAAGTTGTCAATTTTTGTCAAATTGTTTACGTTTTTTTATCTATGTGAAATTATTAGTTATTTCCATCAAAATACAATTTTGGTTGCCTTATTTTGCAATTGTAAAAGAAGCATTGTAAAAAACTCGTTTGAACTGTCTCGGCCGTGCGAAAAAAGTAGTTTTCAAAATTTGTTGTTTAAATAACTATTGTTGTTATATGTTTGTACCTATCATAACACAGTACCTATAGTTCATACCAAATAAACTTGTTGTTGTGACATCGATGACGCCATTTTTAAAATCGTTATAGCCAACCGTGAAAATATTCGGCGTCGGAATGACTTAATTGGAATTTGAATTTCCCGCTGGCCATTCAGTTGGTAACACCACTTCAAAAAATGTAACGCTGCCAAATTAAATTCTTGACATTTTGAATTTTGATTGCGTTTTGGCAGTTTACGAGATTTTGGTTTGTGCTATTATTTGTGAGCTTGTTTTTTAACAGCAGCTTGTGTACAAGATGCCGAAGCAGCTTAACAGCCGTTGCAAAGAACTAATCGCATCCTTGTTACAATATTTCGAACGAGCACGCGATGCGATAATTATGGCCCTTTATGTCCCTTAAATGCTGTTAGGAAGGTGAGTTTATTTCGTGGACCAAGGACCAACTAGGAATTTTCAATTTGAACTTTATTTTCTCTCATTTTTAGCGCGTAGCAAAGGCGTTGAACTTAAGTAGGTATGTCCACTGTCTGTGCTATTTCAAAGGCAGTCAAAAATAACGAAGTTTTGGAATCGCCTTCTGAGAAACGATGTACTTCGAAGAGAATCTGTGATGTTTCAAAGCTCGATAGCAGTGCTATACGTAATACTAGTTACGTTATGTATACAAAAAGTAAATCGCTTGAGACAAAGGTACATAGATATCTATGAATCGCATTCTTTCTTCTTGTAGGACAACATGTAACATTATCCTGTATATGGGAGCAATTGAAAGCCAAACAATTATTTGATGGCAGTCCCATGTAATTGAGTAGAATGTTGAAAGAAATAGGCTTCAAATGGAAAAAATATGACCCAAGACGAGGGCTCATGGAACTTCCTGATATTGTTGTTAAACGCATATCATTTTTGAGGTCTTATCTAAGATTGAAACAGGAGGCTTTGTACTAGTTTGTTTTCTTGGACAAGATTTGGATTTTTCAAAATGGTACTTTTAACCGCTCGTGACAAGACAACAAGCGAAGAGTTAAAACTACCAAAGTTGATGGTGAAAGGTGAATATAAACATGAATTCAGAGAGCAGTTGTATTATATGTACAAAGAAATGCTTTTTTTAGATATATCATACTTCATGCTAGCACTGAAAATGGATTCATTGAAGGTGCATCGCTCGTATTTTCATCGAAAACTCAACTTAACGACTATCATGGAGAAATGAATCAGCAAAACTTTTTACGTTGGTTCGAAAATCAGCTGTTGAAGAACTTGAGGAGTGAACCATCTGTCATTGTTATAGACAATGCTGCTTACCACAGAATGTTATTAACGAAGAGACCTTATAGTTCGTCTACCAAGGCTGAAATTCAAAATTGGTTAACCGAACAGAAAGTTGGGTATCCAAAAACAGCATTGAAATCTGAACTTGTGACCATTGTTGCACGGTAAGTACCTAAGTACAATACCAAAATTGTTTGCATTT